TGGCTCGGCAATTCGCCAGTGCGAGGAACTACAAAGCTGGTCCAACTCTATTATGGTGAGTACTGAATCCGCGTGGCACTTGGCTATCCTCATTTGGTGTTCATTGATATTACAGGCTTTCGAGACGAAATTGGTGCACTTTTTGGTTGGAATCCTTCATCAAACGGGCCAACCAAAATCCTAGTTCGTGTGGGTGTTTCGTTTATATCCGCTGATCAGGCTTGCGAAAATGCCGAGCAAGAAATTTCCGACTGGGATTTTGACCGAGTACATGCCGAGAACCGAGCTACATGGAATGAACTACTGGGACGGATTCAAGTTGACCTAACCGGTGTACCAGAAGATACGGTTCGGTTATTGTACTCCTCGGTATGCATCTTCTGGATGTGTCTCTGGACGGGAACTAATATTTCGCCTATAGTTGTACAGGACACATATCTCTCCGGCAGATTGTATATTTCATTCTTTCGTACCCTTAACCTAAGCCACTGATAAATAACATTAGATACTGGAGAAAACCCGCATTGGATATCGAGTGAACCATACTATGACTCTCTCTACTGCAACTGGGACACTTATCGCACCCTTTATCCTTTGATGTCCCTCCATGATCCGGAAACATTCTCCAGAATTGTCAGGGGCATGATAGATATCCAAAAGAATGAAGGTGTGTTGGTGGAGTTCAATTCCGAGTCAAACTGATGGATGACAGGCTGGCTACCCGAATGTCGCGGCGCAACGACGCAGCAATGGATTCAAGGCGGTAGTAGTGAGTTTCTGCCAGTTTCTTTCAATTTCCTCAACAACTTTTGTTGACATTTTTATCAGATGCTGACCCTATCCTGGCCGAGTTCTGGGTAAAGTAAGGTCCACGACCAGGCTGAAGTATTAAGACCTCACGGATCTCCCAGATTTCATCAGCAGGCCGCCGCACTTAACGTTTCTGGTGATGATCTTTACTCTGCACTCTTAGCGGATGCCGAGCTTCAACCACCCGATTGGAACTTGCAAGGAAGACAGGCGAACTCGTGGAAACTGCTCAGTTTGTACTCTTACATATCACGTTGTCTAAACCTCGCTGACGCGAGTGAAAGACTATATTCCACATGATATAGTGGATACGAATGGCGCAAACTCAAAACAGGTTTCGCGGACGCTAGAGGTCCGTATAAGGGGAGTTCATTTGCCATACATACTGACAAATGATTACTCATAGCACGCCTTCGGAGATTTTGTGATCTCACAAGTAGCGCGGATTATGGGACACAATGATGATGTTACAAAGGTCTTTTCCCGATATCCTTAACCACCTGGTAACGTCTTGATGCTAGATTGCAGTACACTCAACGTGCGAGCAACTTCCTCAACGTATGGAATGAGAATGTATCGGTGCCGGACGCACCGTCGATCAAGGGGATGATGCAGGTATAATGTACTTCACGCTCAAGGATTGTTTCTCATGATAACTAATAGCCACGATCATCGAACGGAACGTTTAGCTTCACTGACCCGAGGCATTGCTCAGTGCATGATCCAGATAAGGCGACATGTTTTCTGAATGCAGCAAATTTGGACGGGTTCTACGAAGGATCACCCATCATTGTAAGTTTGGTAGCCTCAGTCGTTGTCGGGTTGCTCATTTATGCTGTCGCAGTATTCACAGGTACAAGCTTTACTCTGTCAATATTGATGGTTTCCTTTACTAAGTGTGGATGAATAGTATGTCCCCCACGATACCGCCAAACTTCTCGACCTGCAAGGCGGGAAAGAGAGTTTCGTCAAACGTCTCGACTTCATCTTCGAGAATGACTACTTTGAGTCAACAAACGAACCCTCGCAGCAGATGCCCTTCATGTATCACTATGCCAATCAACCCGGACTAAGCACCCAGCGCTCAAGACAAGTTATCGCACAGGACTTCAATACAACTATTAACGGGTTACCAGGAAACGACGGTAAGTGCCAGTGATATCATATGCATTACAAGCATATAAATATCTCGAGTAGACTCCGGCGCCATGGGAAGCTATGTCGTTTTCTACCTTTTAGGCCTATACCCCCTTCCAGGAACGACACAGTTTCTTCTATCGTCACCGTATTTCAGAGAAGTCTCGTTTTCCATTCCAGTCCTCAATACTACCACTACAATCAAAGCGAACGGGTTTCAAGGAAATCCAGAAGATGGTACTGGCGGCACGGTGTTCGTGAAGGTTAGATTCATGATCCGCTATCCCTACCTATGGAGCTGATTCTACAACATGCAGAGTGTCACAGTGAATGGCCAAGCATACAAATCTAACTGTTTTCTCGACTGGGACGTGTTTATGAACGGATCCCTCGTAGAATTGGAGTTGACCGACGATATTGATGTTACGTGTGGAGAAGGTCCACAAGCGCTACCCCCATCTTTGTCGACCGGTGGCTATAATTGAAAGACGAGACATTTGATCGTTTATCTCCATTGAATGTAGTACCTTTTCGTGGTTTATTGCAGAGAAGAACGATGCAGGAGAGGGTACGTGTTAAAAAAATCAGTGATGATAGCTATGATCTCGTGTCACAAATGTGCTGAAAAGAGAAATGTAGATAAGACTCACTCTGGATCCCTGCATGGAGGCGCACCAATCTCAGGCTCTCCACATACTTCTGTGAATAGTGAACAGAACTCATCCGAATCTCCCTCGTGACGAGAGGCACAAAGGTCATAGAGTATAGGCAGTGTATATCGTCTTCATAGCTGGGAGCGCATTGTCTTTTATAGAAGGGAATGAGGGAAGTTACTGACACGCAGCGCTACGTTTGCCCGAGAACAAACAGATCCTTTCTGTTTTCTTCAACGATAGGACTCCCAACCAGGTTAAATCCAGGACACTGGAAAAATCTGTCACTGGCATGACTCCATGCAAGTTGAATGCAGCGAGAACGGGGGCAATATTTAGTCACGGTGGCGTCATCGATGGGAGTGTGCAGGATCAGGTCTGAGAGTACGAATTTATGTACTTATTCCACCCGTAAAGTGGTTTTGGATCTGCTGAGGCCAATGAGCACTTGCTAGCTGCAATTAAGCCACTTCAAGATAGCGTTGGTCGTTTTGTTTGATTCCACTTTCATTGAGAACACGGAAACGAGTTACAGAGGTAAATCACGAGTCACGCAAGCGGTGGCTTGGCATAACGCGTCAGAGGGCATTGTTGATCAGTCGTTAAAGCTGTGATCTCGAGTATTAAAAGATGCCAGTTCCAGGATAAGGTATATATCCACTCACTCTGGTCCCGGCATGGAGGGGCGCCGACGTCAGGCTCCCCACATACTTCTCCGAAAAGTGGGCAGTCTACATCTGAGATTTCGTCGTAACGAGGAGCAAATATGCCATTACTGCTGTAATATACGCAGGTAGTCCCGTCCTCATATCTAGGGAAACAACTCAGTGTATTGTACTGGACAGAAACAATGAACGATAACATACCTGCATTCCTGTTGCTTCTGGATAAAGAAAACAACTTCTTTGTAGTCTTCCGTAATAGGGCTCCCGACCGTGTTGTTTCCAGGGCACTGGAATTTCCTTAGGTAATTCTCGTGTTGCCCATAGGCTTGCCAGCCGAGAGAGGTGAGGACAAAGGCGACGCTGAGCAGCTTCATTTACGCGAAGAACTTGAAGATTGCACTGGTATAGGACTAAGAGTCGGAGTATGGGTACATATATAGGGAAGTAAATCTATAAATGGGAACAGTGGCGCTACCCAAAAGTATGCTGCAAATGATGATATTGTTCAACTTATCATTGGATACGCCAAGGCTCATTCGGTTGGGAGGTTTAATCCGATCGGTCCCGATATATGCGTGCGTCTTCCTTAACCTCTGAGGTTTTCGTCTGCAAATGAGAAAGCCTACCAGGTATCTGAGTCATGTGGATCTGAAGCCGAGTCCGCACCTACCGTGACAATCATCGGCGTTCAAGTTGAGGTACTATCCATAACTTGCTGGTAGGGGATTCTCCGATGACATGAAGCCATTTGACCTCTCCGGTTGATATGATTGGGATCATTTTTTTAGCCAATCATAAGCTAACCTCGGTAAAATGGCGAGCGCGTTCAAGGCTCTAACCGAGCAGGAATACGAACTTGGATGCGATGTGGAGCACTTGGGAATGAATCGGTCGGTTAACGGGTGATTCTGCGAGGAATAATATTCAGTCTTGAAGCCACCTCACCCGAACAACTATTTACCATGTATCCGAGACGGAAGAAGATCCAACTGTCGAACAAAAGCGACGACATGACGATTAGAACCAAGATCAATGGGTAATATGGGACTTATGAGGCCCGTATCGTGACTTCCGACTCGGATGCATTGTTGAATTAGTCTCGAGAACCAGACTGACGATACACACTGACGATCACAAGTGATGTGTGTGTATGTAGTCTGGAACATACCCAGGGTCCGCGCGCCTTTGGATTTTTTGCTGAGGTTCCCACGGCCGGTCCCTCTGTATTTCGCGGCCATGTCGAACGGCTTCATACATTTTATCTTCGTACTTTATATAGATACACATGTTATTTAATGATCTCATGTATATATGTAGCAGGAGAGTTGAAGAAAGTCTTAGAACGTGGAAAATCACGGATTTCCTCAAGCCAACCTCACGCGATTTTGGTGACAGCCGACGCGCCTGATTTTTCTAGCTCGCTGGAGGCGACAGGCTGCTACAAAAATTGGTGAGTTAGTTGACACGATCCCTATCAATGTATTTTAGTACAAATATATGAAAAATGTCCTTTGAGGATGGTTTTGTGAGGTCAAAGGTAGGGCGAGCGGCGTTCGGTTAACCGGCACTGACTATAACCGGGCGTGATTAGCTCAGCAAAATTTCCAGCGGCTACGCTACCCTGAGAAAAAAACAAGACTATTGTTGAATGGAATTGTGGCCTCGAAAAATAGTCAACACCATGATGAGTGCCGACTCCATATGTACGCAGGTTTGACAGTGGAATTAAAAGCATTAGCAGCAACTTGTTTCGATCAAGTGACCTCGGGGTACCGTCAAGCCTGAGTCTATGGGCCCCGCGCGCTACCACTGCGCCATGCTGCTCCCTCTGACCCTCAAAGTTCAAAATTACCAGTGCACGGAGACTTATTATTGTGGCACAGGACTAAACTCTCGGGTCCAGCGACAAAAGTACAGGCCACCTGCCCCAGTGAGGCTCGAACTCACGACCTTCCGATTGGTACCCAATTAATGTAACAGTCGGACGCTGTAACCAACTCAGCCATGGGGCACATGTTATCTTTGTTTCTTGCACACTCTACGTCGCCTCGCAATTCCTACTTCCCAACTATAAATACACTCTGATATCGATTTACTGTAGACAGAATATACATTTTTCCTTCCTATGCCTATACCTATCCCAACGAAAAAGGAACGACAGACTCTACGCACGACTCTACAACTTTGTACCCATAACATCTGCAACCTTCTTCTTAATCACGTCCACCACACCTGGTTCAGCAACCGTCGAGAGATCACCGAGTTGGTCACCTTCGCCTGCGACGATTTTACGCATGATACGGCGCATGATCTATTTTTTTTCGTTCATTGTCAACACCTAAGAAAGGAAAAGAGTAAAAGGGAAAAAGCGCACCTTGCCACTCCTTGTCTTTGGCAAATCACCAACGATAAAGACCTTCTTGGGAGCTGCGAATGGTCCAATGACTTTTCGGACTTGAAGTACCAATTCCTTTGTCAACGCCTCTTCGTTTGAGGGGTCGTATTTGTATTCGCTGTATCACCGTGACCATGAGCTCCTCGAAACATGCACTGAGGTAAGGAGAACAACTTACGGTTTCAAGGTAACAAACGCATAAACAGCTTGACCCGTCAACTCATCAGCTGTACCGATCACAGCAGTCTCGGCGACACCAGTGTGCATGATCAACGCTGATTCGATTTCCGCGGTGGATAACCTATACCGGTGCATTTTTAGCGGGAGAATGGGACGGTATGGAAAGGACGAGACCCACCGATGCCCTGAAACGTTAATCACATCATCGACACGACCCTTGATCCAGATATACCCATCTTCATCTCTAGCAGCACCATCACCGGTGAAGTAATACCCAGGATACGGCTACAACAACGTGAATCAGGCATGCTACAGAGAAAGACGGAACACACGTACCTTCATGTAAACATCAACATATCTTGCATGATCGCCCCAGATCGTCCTAGCAATACTCGGCCAAGGTGCCTTGATAGCCAACACACCCTCAACATTCGGTCCCCTCGAGTTCCTTTCCAGAAACAGGATCCAACAATGCAGGTTGAATACCAAGGAAAGGAACAGTAGCACTACCGGGTTTCGTGGGGATAGCGCCTGGGAAAGGTGTGATTACGATGGAGCCGGTCTCGGTTTGCCTGATAGGAGTGGGAGTGGAGGTGGAGAAGAGGGAGTTAGAGAGGAACAATGATAAACCGGAATGAAGAGAGCTTACCAGAAGGTATCGACGATCGCACACTGTTTCTTTCCGACATATTCATTATACCAGTTCCAGGCTTCGGGGTTGATAGGTTCGCCGACAGATCCGAGGATACGGATGGATGAGAGATCGTGTCCTTCGACGTGTTGGTGGCCTGTGCAGGTGTTGATAGCAGTTAGCGGAGATAAACCGAAAAAGCGACGGAAAACGCATACCTAAACGCCTCAACAATCGGATGGCAGTCGGTGCCGAGTAAAAGTGGGTCAGTTTATGTTTGGCGACGGTTTCCCAGTATCTAGAGGCGTATTAGGTTTGGTAAAGAGAGAGTGAAGAGGAAGGGCTCACCTAGATGGAGTGGGGTATACAGGTGTTGACTCGAAGATGGTGGTCGAGACACCGTTCAGAAGAGGACCGTAGACGATGTAGCTACCGCAAGTCAGTAACAAATCTCACCCAGAGCGAAGAAACATACGTGTGGCCAGTGATCCAACCGATATCAGCCATGCAAGCAAACTTGTCACCAGGGTGAACATCAAAGACGTATCTGCACAGCAGGTTAGACTAGATAGCACCAAAGAGGAAAATCTTACTTGACGGTCAACGCAGCGCCAAGAAGGTAACCTCCGGTGGTGTGAACAACACCTTTTGGCTTACCAGTGGAACCGGAAGTATAGAGGATGAAAAGCGGATCTTCGGATTTCATGGATTCACAAGGGCAGTACGACGGGACCTGCGTAAATGATGAGCTTGAAGCACAGCATGGTGACACGTCGAGCTCACCTTTGCGACTTCCTCATGCCACCACAAGTCTCGTCCCTTCTCCATGTTGACCTCGCTTCCTGTTCGCTTCAACACCAGCACCTTTTCAACAGGGTTTCCTCCAGGTTCCTTGGCACATTCGTCTAATGCAACGTCTACAATCTTCTTGGTTGCGATGGTCTTGCCACCTCTTTTTCCTTCATCAGTGGTGATGAGCACTCGGGAACGACAGTCAAGGATACGATCTCTAAGCGATTCCGAGGAGAAACCTGCGAAAACGACCGAGTGAATCGCACCAATTCTGGCACAAGCAAGGAAAACAGCAACAGCTTCCCATGTCATGGGTAGATACACGCTGACGGTATCACCCCTCTTGATACCCAAGCTTTTCAGTACGTTTGCAACACGAGACACCTCGTTGAGTAGTTGACCATAGGAAATGTACTTGTGTTGGTCGGGTTCATCAGCCTCGTAGATGATGGCGGTACGGTTGGGGTCTTTGAAAGCATGGCGGTCGACACAGTTGTACGCGGCGTTGAGAGTTCCTTCGGGGAACCAGGAAATGTTGCCTTCGGCAAAAGAGCCGGATCGGACGGTGTGGAAGGGGGTATCCCAGTGTAACGTGTTCCTAGCGGTCTTTGATTCCGGAATCAGTCCATATCTCGCCAAACGCCCGGGGGTCGCTACACGCACCTCTGCCCACCATTCGTCGCTGCCTTCACCGACAGTCTTGCTGTGCAAAGCTTCATAAGCAGCCTTGTCAGGGCCTACATGGGGCTTTATGCCGTCCTTAGTGACACGAGAACCGACAGGGTGAGTAGGGATAACTTCAGTTTCGGACATGATGATGAAGGAAGAAGAAATGGGGGAAATCAAGGAAGAAGCAGCGAACCGGACGTGCGGCTTTATATGTTTTGATCGATTGCGGGGTCACCCGACTCCCCGCGTCCAAATATGGAAGGTCCCGAGTAAGGGCGCAACGTCAGCTGTTTTCAACCAAGACATCTCAAGCGCTCTAGACGACCTCCTCTGGACCAACATTGCCCCATTCGCAGTCTGCGGCGTCACGGAATCCCGTTGGACCTTGGTGCCACCCAAGAATATTCGTCCTCCTCGTCGCATAAACAATGCTCCAACCACTCGGCACGCTACCAATCCCCTCTGCGTTTACTCTACACCGTCTTCGGCACCCTCTTCAACTTGTAAACGGACGGAACGTACCCAAACGCCGCTTGTCAAAACCTTTTCCATGGTTTTACGCGACTTTTACGCCACTCATTCATGTTAAGTACGCTTAAACTCCCTTTCATTCTTATCTCTTCATACCTACATCCGTCAAAGCAACTAGACCGCTCGGCGTCAGTCAAATGATTATCGCCAATCGAAAGAAAATCAATTATCACCGTCAACCCCGTTCATCTGACACCCCTGGTTGTTGTACTCGCTTTCAATACCATCAACGCCATTGCTACTTCCAAGGAACATCAACACTGGGCATCGTCATCACCTGGTCGACGAGCGTAGATCCCAGAAATCCAAGACCACGCTAGTTCCACGCTAGACTTTGGCTGGATTGCCGATCGTCGCGGTGGAGTGCTCTGGAGGATTCTCGTTACACAGCAGCATGGCGCAGTGGTAGCGCGCGGGGCCCATATCCAGCTTGGACTAAGGTACCCCGAGGTCACTTGATCGAAACAAGTTGCTGCTACTGTCTATGGACTGGCCGCTAGGGTCCAGTTGTACAGTTGTCTAAATTACTGTTTTTTTCCTGCTGATTGTCAATCCCATGGCAGTCCGCTTTGACGCCTGGAACTCCGAGCCCCACGCAACCCGATCGTACCTCAGTCATTCATCAATTTTATGTTCTTCCATTGGCTAAGACACAAGAATTTCTCGGAATACATCGGAAACAGGTCACCTTCTCTTTCAAAGTTAGAACCTCAGCACATATCTTTTCTTCAAAGCCTAGAAACTCGAATTCCGTGTCCTTCCTTCAAGCTCACATTTATTTCAAATTTACGTCTTATTACTTTGCGGGCGTTCCGGCTCAAGGCGTTATCGAACACCAAAGTTCTCCTTCTGCACCCATAGATACCGCAAGCACAAATCAACCAAGTAGTTTCGCGGAATTTGGAATTACCGTGTTGTTGATGCTCCGTGCCCATTGCTTCAAGGTCATGTACCTCGTACCCTCGGATCATCATATATGGTTGGTTGACTTTAACGCCGTACACGCCATGGTGTGTCCCCCCGGCCCTATATCCCCCGTCACGATGCATCTTTTACATGTCAGCGCTGACCTTCGATCTCACAGGCACTCAAGTACCCAATGCAAGTGTTAATCAGCTAATCGATACTCATTAATCAGGAGGGCTGCACCTCTTAGAGCTCACGTTGCGCTTCTTCATGGCGTAACAGACGCGTATTGATACGATTTTTACTCACAGGAAAATCCTTGCATTTATCAGCGCCAAATAGACGCTTCAAGTGAACAGGCCTCAACGATCAAACAACACGACCCGGATTGATGCAAACTCTTGTACAATGAAAGCACTAGTCCTTCTGGTGCGTTTCTTTACCGAAATGTCTTCGACCCTCAATTACTAGTAATATGCTCTTCTCCGTGACTCGCTTTGGCGCCAACGTACACAATAAACATAATCAGGAATCAGAATCAGTCTTCTGCTCGGGTTGGAACAAGCTATCACGGGTACAGTTAGGTTTTCCCCTAGATCCGGAGCTATACTGCCTTCCATCGTCATGTGCAAGTCCGCCTGGAACCCGTATGAGACCTGGAATATACACAGCACTGGACTCAAGTTAGCCATCAAAAAGCAATACATACTACATTCTGCTGCCAACCCGTTTCAGCGTCCCACAAGCAACGATTTTGAATTAGCGCCGATAGCGCCGTAATCTGACTCTTCTCGGAATCATTAATCAACGTAACTTCCGCTAAACACTTCTGCTAAACACATCATGATCCGTTCCACAGGTTCGTAACTCACTCGTTCATCGAAGGTCGGCATTTGGTCGGCATAGCGCTTTACTCGGCTTGGATTCTCTAGCGTCCAACTCCTTTGTGTCACGATGCAGGAGACGAACCAATGGCGTTATGTATTTCTCTTCATTACAGGACTGCATCTTGAGCTTTCAATTTTCAGTCGTAGAAGAGATTGCTGCAACGTAAAAACAACTGACTCCGGCTCTTCAGACGCATCAAGAACTAGCAGGAAGGGATTTCTTATGTCACGGTGGCTGACCTGTGGCGCCACACCGTGACCTTTCGCGAAGAACAACGTCTGCTCCACACCTTCTACATACTTCCATTCTTTGCCATAATGCTTTGGCATTCAAACCCCAACTTCTGGCGCTTCATTAACACGATAACAGTCACCTGAGGCACGTAACAGGACGTATAAAAACCTAGCTTTCAGCACTCAGTAGTTCACCATCTCCTGCTATGAAGACAACTCTCATCCTCGTTGCCTCTCTCGGTATTGCCGGCGTAGCTGCCAGTACCAATGCTGCTTGCTACACCAACATTTGTTTCACCGGCGAATGTGACTATACCAAGCCACAGTGCATCAGTAGCAATAACAAGGCCGAAAACACCAACTGCTACGATAACATTTGCTTCGAGGCGTGTTTCCAGGATCCAGACGCTCTGCGTTGTTATAGACCCGACAACAAACCGACTCCGCCTCGACCTACCTATACCGTTGAATGTCCTGCAGAGGACAAGTCGGGACACAGTCTAGCTAGGGACTACTCCCACGACGTGCTCTTTGGTGATGAGACAGAGGCTAGCTGCGCGTAAGTTGCCAATTTGCGACTTTGATATTCATACCGGCTGACATCTGCTGCTCAGGTACACGGTCCGTACTCTTGAGGGGGCGTATGAAGTGTTTTGTTCCTACAATGTAGAAGGAGAAGGAGAGGTGCCGTTGGTTCAAAACGAGAACACTGATGAACGCTGTCCCGACTCGGTTCAGGCGACAAAGGCTCCCAATGAGGTAGCCTGAGTCTGCGATTTCTGTGTCGAAGGGACCAAGACGAATCTTTGATCCTTGTATGCCGAATAGAACCGATAAGATATTTTTAACTCTATAGTTTCCTTTAGGTAGACAACAGAAATAGGGCCGAGTAGCGAGATATACCTCAAAGGCGATAAATCATAAGCCGAGCCTGAAAAGACGAAACGAAACAAAATTGAGAGTACTATCGGTACACGGAGGCACGCAATAGGACAAAAAAGAGAGGAGAAAAAAACTGAGGCTACTACCGGTACACGGAGGCACGGGACTCCCGACAGAGTCTCAAGTGAGGTTGCCAGGACCCCATGGAGACATGGTGCATACTAACAAGCACCAGCTCCTCTAATTTAATGTAGGACGAGCCAGGACCACCCACGCGCCATCTCTGATGGGCATCTTCCTCGAGATGCTGATTTTGTCGCTCCTAAGATCGTGCGGGATCAGTGCCATCATGCTAAAGACCAAGGCAACAGACTCACGGCAATAAATCTTTGAACGCACTTTGCCACGTTCTTAGCAAGTTTTGCCTTGGTGATAGGGCCCGGAGGACTTTTGAAATCTTTTGTTGGAATTTGACGACTCCATTGACGATATCCAGGCCACTGGAAAGTAGAGTATATGGTTAGACGCGCTTTTACGCTACTAAAATAGTGCGTACCTCGAGACGAATAGAAACACTGGGTCCCCGACCTTCAAAGACCGTTTCATCTCGATTTTCAAGTCTTCTGACGCGGGAATGCAGAGCGTCAGTCAATGAAATACCACATTCACTCGGGTTGTCAGCCCAAAAGTAAATCGGAGGGTCAAGCTGCACCTCCTCGACATATTGGCGCCTGTCGGAGTTGGTGTGCGGCTTGTACATTGCCTGTGGGATGAAGGGACTGGGCGTCACCGAAAAAGGAAGACTGAGCGCTGCCTTGAAGAACTCCATCTGCTCTTGGTGAGAGTAAAGGCGCTGTGGCTGCTGGAAACATTATGATGCATTGGTGACAATATTCCTCCAAACTGTCTCAAGTACGCTCACCTGGGGATGCCGGAACAACAAAGATCCAGAATCGTTACTCTCACTCGGAGGCCGAGCCGACGCGCTATCATCGGAGTTTTCGGGTATTGCTGGAGGCGAAAGATGGGCGTTGCTCCCCTGATAGGTCGAGGGTGATAAGTGTTCATGAGATCCAGCGGGCGAGATCTGACGGCTGGCGGAGTTGGGGTACTGATGAATGTTGTATTGGGAATATTGATATGGTTGTGGATGCGCCAAGTCTGCGACGAATTTATTGCTATACGAGGTCGATCCCACAGGGGTGTTCACCATAGCGGTTGAATGCAAACTCTGTGACCAGCCAGGGTCATGGTACGATGTCGAAGCTAATTGATATGAGTCATGAGATGCTGGCGTTGGCATTTTCAAGGCCGGCGTCTCTACCCCAATCCCAGGGTGTAATTGCTGTGGTGATCCAGAAGACTGGCAGGAGGTGTATTGCGGAGAATGATGCCCTTCTTGTTCATAACGAGAAAACTGTCGATTAAGTTGTGAATCTGGATTATGGCCCAAAAAACTTCCTTACTGGTTGGTCGCAAAGGTTGTAGGATATGGTGGGGGCAGACATGGCGCGAGGCGAGCTTTGAGAGTAGTTTCCCCCAGATGGCGGATGCAAGGGTGGAGGTGTCCTGGATTGAGACCTTCCAGCTTGAAGGTAGCCTATTCTGTAATGGATAGTAGTCGAGCTGAGCGTGGACCACAGGAAAAGGACTTCAGCGCTCACCGTATTGGTGATGTCCTACTTTTCGATGCGGTTGGTACTGTTTCTTCTGTTGAGTCAGAGTTACGCTCCGACGAATCCATAACCTGCATGAAAATGTTGATATCATGGGATAGCTCTCTTGATTCCAATTTCCCAGCAGTAGGGTCATGAGCTGTCTTCCTTCTCAAAGCTGTCGAACTTTCTGTGTATACGAAACCTGTAACGATAGGGTTGTGAAGTAACATTGACGTAAACACCAAATGTACTCACCCTGGTCAATGACCACACTGAAGGTGGCGGAAAAGCGTGTAAGGAAGTCGAATACACTGGGCAATCCTGCAGAAGAATGTAACTATGTATTACTGGGATCAGCACCTTCTCGAGAAAGTACCATGAACACTATACCTCTTCTTGATGATATAATGAGATCCAGTCCTCGTCGTGAGAAATGGCAATGATAGACTCGGAGCGCCCGAATTCTGAAGCGACTGCGTACATCATGTCACCAATCAAGTCGCAAGGATGAAACTGAAGCAGAAGTCTGCAGAAGTAAAACAAATAACAAGAAGCACGAGTCTAAATGCTCACCACTTTCTCATCATAGATGCTGGTACCGTCAACTATGTAGTCCCCGTTGCCATCCTCCACAACTTCAGCCCCACTTGAAAGTCGGGTATAGCCTCCGGAGGTGTACCCAAATGCACTATAAGCTGACGAAGAAGCTTGACTATGTCCTCCTTGTGCATCAGGGAATTGAGGCTTGAGGTCTAAGATCCTCTCAGCTTTCACTTTGTTTCCAGTGACATCTCGGATTTTGACTTTGGTTGATTTGCGCTTCTTGGAGACCTTGAACCCATGCATAAAAACTGTCTGATTCCTCGGTAATTTTCCGGTAGTCGCTGGCGTTGAGGTGTTAGGATAACAGC